AGTCCAACACTTCTTAGAACGGTTCATACCCTAGTATGGAAATCAAACATCATTTTCTATTGACGATATTAAATTTCATTGGCTTATCAAATTCACGAGTTGGCTCACAGAGCCTTTGATACCAACGGGTTTCGTTGTACATTTTGTAGTGGACCGTCTAGAAAACGTCAAGGATCGATAGCTGTGTTCTTATTGTTTCTTCTCTTCGTATTCGATGAAAAAGAGAAGTTTAAAGAGCGAGGTGCGGTTGTTAAAGCTTTCAAGCAAAGTAATCATGATACCACATGTAGTACGTCTATCCATGACACGGTAAAATTTGTGTATGGACACACGGAAGATTTTACGGAAATCAGCCGTGGAAATTGCATCACTGCATCAGCTAGTGGTAAGGACTATTTACTTCCAGGTTATTTACATATGTTTGCAAGGAGCAGCAGAATAAAGACCTGTTGAACTCAGGATAGTTAAGACGATGTTTGCAAGGAGCAGCAGAATAAAGACCTGTTGAACTCAGGATGTTTTTGTAGTATTGGAGTTTGCTCATCTCTCGCTTTCCTTGCATGAAAAGAAAAAGCAAGTATAGCAAGGCTTTATATTTAAAAATATAAAGGCGTGCTGATAGTTGATGGATGAAAAGAGCCCGGGGAATACCGCCTTATATGGGCTCTATAGGTATGTGCAGCCCCAAATTAAAGAGTATGGTTTTTCAGCTGTTTTGGTCATAAATAGGGTATTGATTTTAGCTGATTTTGGCCATTTTGGTCATAAATAGGGTATGGTTTTTGCACTCTAGCCTTGATATGGGTATGTTTTTAAAAAGAAGCCACTTTTTCGTCATTATCGAAAAGAAAATCAACAAAAGCCCTTTACAAATTATGTTTACGGTAATTTAACGTTGGACTGAACTAATGAAACTTATTTATAACGCAGGTCTGAAACAGAGTTTTGATATAAGGGTTAGGTCATAAATAGGGTTTCGAATTTTTGGTCAGGTCACAAATAGGGTAGGGAATATCGCAGATTTTGGTCATAAATAGGGTAAGGGTTTTG